GTCTCCGCATCCTGCAGCTTCCTGCTGCATTGAGACCTCAGCATTACTGGGCTTGGGGCCCCAGCACCAGGGGAAGGGCTGCTTTGTGGGCTCAAAGCGCCTGCCTCCCTTTTGCCTGTGGGAATCCCTGTGATCGAATTCCAGATCACCCACCTTGTAGATGAAAAGCCAGGCAAGCGCCTCCCTCTAGCCTCAGTTTCCTGCAGCGTGAAATGGGAATAACAACAGCATCTACCTTAAGGATTCTTGGGAGGATCAGGTGCCTGGCGATGGGTGCGGGCAGCTCTCCCAACGCTGCCTGGCACGCAGGAAAGCCCGCTGTGGCTGCCTTTATTCTGCAGCCCCTGCCCTCCTCCACGGGCCTCCCTGGTGTGCTGCTTGATGGCTGGCAAGGGTGTGGGCCCTCCACGCCTGGCTCTGGGGTACAGAACAGAGGGAGCCATCCGTTTGTCTATCTTTTTCTTGGTGGGAGGGGTGGTGGTTCAAATTAAATTTCAGTTTTATCCTTTGTAGTTGTCTACACAATAAATCACACATTTTGCATAAGGAAGCATGGCTTTTGCGAGGAAAGGCTTGTGTTTTGGCGTGTGTGGGTGGTGGATACTCAGCCCTTTAGGTCTGTTACTCCTGTCCCGCTCCTCAGCTCGGGGTCATCTGGTATCTGGATAGGGTTTCAAACTGGCAGAAACAATTACAAAGATAGTACAAAGAACTGCTGTGCACTCAGATTCTTCAGATGTTAACTCACTGCCACCTGACCCCCTTCACACACACACATAACACACGTGCATACACTTAACACATGCACACACAACGCACATAGGCACACACATGTACACATACTCGCACACAATTGTAAACGTGCACACAATTGTAAACGTGCACACACGCACATGCCATTTTTTGGGAACCATTTCAGAGTAAGTTGCAGACATGCCCTTTTATCCCTAAATATATTCAAGCTCAGGGAACCGAGCATTGCTACAACTGTGTTATCTAATCCACTGGCCACACACAGTTTCACCAGTTGTCCTAGAAATTGCCTCTTGGATTTTCCTGATTCCAGTTCACCATTGCCCTCAGTGGCCATGTCTCCCTATCCTGGAACAGTTCCTCAGCTGTTCCTGACCGTGACATTTTTGAAGAGTCCGGGCCTGTTGCTCTGTGGAACGTCCCTCACTTTGGGATGGGTTCTCTGTCTGGAAAGTGCATGTTGTACTACTTGTTTTACTATGTGTCCTGTAATCCTGGGTGGTCCAGTATGGCTGGTGGTCACACCCACATCTTGTACATGAGCAAACTGAGGCAAAAGGAGGTCAAGCAATTGGTCTGTGGTCGCATTCCCAGGAAATGGCAGAGCTGGGATTCAGACCCAGGATTATCTAACCTGCCTGCCCCACAGTAGGAGTAATGATAGCAGTGAGACCCTGAGAATAACACATATTAATCAAGCACTCTCTGTGATCTAGGCGTTGTGCTAAGCATTTTGCATGCACGACAGTGCACCTTCACCCCATTCTTGAAAGTGACTGCTCTGAGCAGCCCTGATGTACAGATGGGGATCAGAGAGGTACAGTAAACTGCCCAGGCTGCACGGCTGCTAACTGATGGGCCTAGCCCTGCCCCGGGCAGCTTGTGTCCTTAGTCGGCACATGTGGCTTGTGCACTTAGGCCTGCTGGGCCTCATAGTCGGGGCAGCACGTGAGCCAGGCTTTGCCGACCCTCCGGTGTTTATGTTCTTTTCTGAAGCCCTCTCTAGGGGGAGTGAGCACGTCCCAAGGCCAGGGCTGCTCTCAGGGTCTTCCTTATCAGGAGAGGGGACCAGCCTGCTCTCTGCTCCTGTAGGTGCCTCTGTCCACCTCCGTGGTCTCTGTGGCAAACAGATGGCATTGTGATGATTTCCAGGCCAAGAGTCCCTGTGCAGTCGTTCATTTGATGGCTGGCTCAGTCTCTTCTGCTGAGCAGCCCGGGGCTCCTGCCCATGAAGTGGCTGGCCCTAGCTGCTGGCAGTGCCGATGGGCGCCCTTGCTTAGGCAGTGTTCAGGCGGCATTCAAGGCGCTGCCCTGGGGATGAGGCAGACTTGCTCGCAGCAGCGCTGGTGACTAATGAGTCAGACCTGTGTGTCACACCCTGCGCCTCACCTTCTCATTGGAGAAAAGAAGATATTACTGGTCTGAGAAAGCCCGTGGTTCCCTGGTTCAGATGCAAGTGCAGGGTATGTCTGTCAGCCACAGAGCAGGTGACATCCTGTCCTTGGGACAGGATGGCCAGGGAGCAGCAGCCTCCTCACCCTCAGGCTCAGGCCTGGATATGTGCTGTGTCTGCCCCTACCCTGCTCCCTCTCCTGCTGGGCTGGATGGATCCTGAGGATCAGTGGCCCAGCTAGTCCTGTCACTGTGCTGGGCCAGTGTCCTTTTTCCCTGACTTGTCTCTATGTGTGGGAAGTGACCCTGCTGCCTGCCAGGCTCGGTGCATTGAGGTGGGGCTGCGACCTTTCCACTCTGACCACCTTGGCCGGCCCTGGACCACCTCCCCCTGCTCTGGCAGCGAGCCTGTGGTGGGCCCGCTCCTGGGAGGAACATAGAAATTCTAGTTCCCTAATTACCACGGAACATTGCTCCGTGGTTTAAAACATTAATTAAAAACATTAATCAATTTGGCTGCCTTGGAAGGAGGCTCTTTTTCGGCACGAGTTGACTTTCTGGGTTGTTGCTGCCCCCCTTACGAGGAGGAGGGGGTGGGCTTGTAAACCAACGATTCAGCTACATATTTGTTGATGTCAGGCAGCCTCCTCAGCCTCTCTGAACTTTCGTTTCCACATCTGTAAAATGGGCATGAGGGTTGTACTTTGACCTGCCCTCCTGGGGCCACTGTGGGTGCTCAGTGAGATTCCGGGAGGATATCCCTCAGCAAAGTGTCCTGCACGGAGTGCTGTTGTTAGAGTTCATTACATTTCTCTAGTCCTTACAGTTTCTAGAACACACCTTGCACACAGGATCTCGTGCGGCATGCCTGGGAGATGGTGAGGGTTACAGTTGGCTCCACCTTGCAGGTGCATAAACTGAGAAGGGAGGGTCATGCCAGGCCTGGAGCTGAGGCCCTTGGGCTCAAGCCCAGGCTTTAGCTCCATTCTCATTGGCTTTGCTTGCTCCCTGCACCCCGGGTACTGAGCCACGATGCTGACTGTGGGGAGACAGGAGAGGGGAGACCTTTTCCCTCCGTATTGGGAGGAGACTTAGAAGTAAGGCCCCACGCTTGCTTGAGTGGTGTGCGTGTTCACCCTTTGCCAGGCCACTCGCTCAGCTCTGCAAAAGTTCTTACTTTAAGAACAAACCTTGATGAGAAACTGAGGCTCAGAGAGTAGCTTGCTTAGGCCCCAGTTCAGTAGAACTGAGATGCCAACCCAGGCAGCTTGACAAAGAGCCTGTAGTCAGCTGGGAAGCTGGGCTGCTGCTCTTTGGGGTAATGAAGCCAATGTATTTGGACAATAAGGAAAAAGCGCCTTTTCTTTTGGGGCAAAATACCTGAGAAGCGTGGGAGCCTGCCACCGTGGGAGCGTGGATGTGCTGAGGAGGGCCTCTTCCTGAGCACACTGTCAGCCCGGGGGATTTCTCTCAGTGAGGGGGAATCCGTGTCTCCTGCTGGGAACTGGTACTCTGAGCAATGGATGGAAAGAACCAAGGCTTGAAGGGGGGAGGTGTCGTAGGTCCCCCGTGACACTAACACATCCAAGGGAGGAATGTGACAACCAGAGGGCTGCAGAGGAGCAAATGATGGCCAAATTTTTCTGGAAGAGAGAGGGAATTGATGACGGGGAATTCAGGCCACCTGGCCTCTGTCCTTGAGGCAAGGACATTTCTCTGGCTGTTTCCAGAATTGAGAGCAAATTCCCCTTCAGAACCTGTCAATCTTTATTCTGAGTCTGTGTTTACTGAGTCCCATCTTCTTGAGGATTTGGAATTCAAGGTGCTATGGAGTTTGGGGGGCAGGACAGAGGTCTGGAAGGGTCACTCCATTGGATGCAATTGTGTGGTTTTCTGAGGGTGCCACACCATCCCTTGAAGGGGAAGGACCCTCTCTGAGCTCACTTGCTGAGCATTTGGTCCTGCTCCAGGGTATCTTAGATGGCCCTCCCAGAGCTGGTAGGACCAGGGGGGCCCCCTCACCCCATTCCCGACCCTGTCTCTCCCCTTTTGGCCACTTCATGTAGCTGTTTTGATTATCAGTTAGGATAAGAAGCCTTGGTGAGGCTACATATTTCTTTGTTCCCTGAGTAATTCATGATGTCCATTGATCGCATGTTACCAGATGACTGTGGAGCCCAGATAAGGTTACAACAAAGTTAATGTGATACAGCTTCCAGGGTTTACATAATCCCCACTGTCTGCAGAATGCCATTAGGTGTGTTTCTGATTCCCCTCTAGCCAGAATTCCCGGAATCAGATGAATGCAAGCTTTAGTGGAGAAGGGGAACAGGATGGATGGGTGAGGGCTTGGGAGTCAGGAGACCTGACTCAGTGCTGGCCTGGCCTCTCACTTAATTTCTGACATATGGAGCCATCAAAACCCATCTCATAGGATTAAATGGCTTCATGTATTTAAATATCACTGTACTTGACACCTCATAGTTGCTCAATAAATGTCTGCTCTCCGCTGCTTCTCATTTAGCACATAGTAAATAGATACTTATTATTTATTTATTTAAAAAATATATATTGGTTTCAGAGAGAGGAAGGGAGAGGGAGAGAGAGAGAGAGAGAAACATCAGTGATGAGAGAGTCATTGACCGGCTGCCTCCTGCACGCCCCCGACCAGGGATCAAGCCTGCAACCCAGGCATGTGCCCTGACCGGGAATCAACCGCCATCTCCTGGATCCTGGGTTGATGCTCAACCGCTGAGCCACACCCGGCCGGGCGGTACTTAATTTTTAAATGAGTGAAATATCTCATGTGGGCATTGATACTAATTATTCCTTGCCCTTTTCTTATATATTTGCAGAATCCTGTTATGCCTGGGATTTAGGTGCCTTTGATCTGAGAACACACCTATCCATTCAACACTCCAGAGGGACCTGAGCACAGGCCTTCCCTGAACAGCAGCTGCAGTATCTTGAGATTTGGAGAATGGAGGTAAGGGAATTCTCCTTTTGAGACTTACGGGACCAAGGATGGCTTTTGGAGTTGGTGATGTCTTGCATCACAACGTGAGTTGTGGTTCTTGACTCCTCGGCCTGGAGTGCCGCTCCACAGTGCTGGGAAGTCGGCTTTCTGTCACCTCCTCCTGACACACAGGCCTGGCTCTTGGGTCACCTGGACCATGTGCCTCAGGGACTCTCCTGTCCCTGCCACCATGTCCGAGGTGGCGCCCCACCCCTTTCCTCCTGGTGGAGGAGGGTGCTCTAGCTGTCCTGCTGTGACATGTGGGGACCATACCGAGGAGTGGGCAGGAAGGTGTGGTGGGGGTTAGTGATTAGGTCCAAATGCCTTCGGGACCATCTAGAAGGTGATCAGTTCCTCCGTCCCTGGGATGAAGGGTGTGAAGTGAACACAGGACTCCTGGCAGACCCAGCTTCTCCTGGTTTTGCTTCTTGCCTCCCCTTGGCCCAGTCACTCAGCGTCTCCAAGCCTCGGTTTCCTCATTTTAAAAATAGGCATTGTACTAGCGCCAGCTCAGGAGGGTGTCATGGGGCAGTGGAGATAAAGAGCTTAGCATGCCAGGCAGCAGGGGGGAAGAAAGGCTCCAAAACGAGGTTTTTGTTTTGTTTGTTTTTTTAGTTTTAAAAAAATTCATTATACGTTTTAGAGATCCTTCCATGCAGCAGGCTCTTTTGAAGTCCTTGGTCTGCTGTTCTCTCTGCCTCTCACCTGCTGCCAGATCTGCTTCAGGAAACTTGTGAATCACCTTGAGGGTGACAAGCAGACCCTCGCCCAGAACGGAGCTGGTGACTCCCCCGTCCGGCTGCAGCCGCGATGCTGGCCCACCTCCACTACTTCACGTGGGTGCTTTCCCCTCCCCTGCCCGCATCCCCAGCCGCTGGAGAGCTGGTTCCAGCAAGGACTGCCTCACAGGTCCTGGCACCCCAGGGTCGGGCCTCCCATTGTGCATGTTGTAAGGACAAATGGGTGAGGCGTTGAAAAGGAGGCAATAGAGAGGGGAAGAGAGAGCTACAGAGAGAACCAAAAGAAGAATGTTTTCAAAGATTTAGAGCAACGAATGAGGTCAATTGTATTTTTTTTTTTACATTTCACTGAAAATATTTTATTGGCCTTTTGGATAGAAACAGGAATTTATTTGCCAGGAAGGATGATCCCACCATACTTCTGCTGGAACTAGCGCATGGCCTCCTCTTTGCTGATTCTGTGTTTGGCCCCAGTGCAGCCTGTTCTGCATTTCTTGTCTGCAGTGCTGAAACCTGGCCTATCCAGCACCACTTAGAAGGCCGTAGATACCAGTGCTTGGGTCACATCTGATCCCCAGATCAGTGTGTCTCTGGATCCCAAAACCAAAGTTGCCAGTATCTGAGAAGTTATTTTTATGTAATTCCTACTCTCACTCCTTTAGACCTTTCTCCAAGACTTCTTCTGCCTTGGCCCATGAACTGTGCCGTGGAGGGCGATCTTTTCATTTCTCCTGATGCCAAAGGATCTGACAGGGTATCTGGCTTTGGAGAACGCAAGGGGTCTGGCCTGTGAGCTGCTCCAGGACCTTGGCTGCCTGGGTCAGTCTGCCTGTCCTCTCCCCCACCAGGTGTGGAGGCAGAGCTTGCAGATGTGAAGTCCCTGCATGGGGGGTTCTCCGTTTCGCCTTCATCCTGCACCATGAGGAGAAACAGGAAGAGCTGTCATAACACTTTTAAGTGTACAGTTCCTTGGTGTTAAGTACATTCATATTATTGTGCAGCCAATATCCAGAAATCTTTTCCTTGTGAAGTGACTGTGAGCCCTAGTGATGTCACGACGCGTCCTTGTGACGAGACAGTGCGCCCCAGTGACGCGGTGCGCCCTTCAGTTGCCCTGCTTTAAAGGAAACGTTGACGAGCATAAATAAGGTGGTGGAAAGGAGAGCGAGTCCCACCACAGCTTCGAAAGCGACGCGAGGACGGGCAGGCAGGTGAGAGCCGTGGAGCGGTGAGAGGACGGCCGGGGGAGGCGGAGGGCGGGGACCAGAGCGTCGCGTTGCTGTGCTTCGTGGGCCTGCAAGTTTTCCAAGCTCCTTGTGTTCAGCACCCTCGGGACAACGGGGATGGAGAGGACGAGGCCCCGTCCTTCCTTCAAGGTGGGGGGGCTGGTGCACACCCAGGACACTCCACACTCACCAGAGAGGGCCCTTGCCCCTTGGGGAGGCTCCCAAAAGAGGGTGCTGCCTCTTCAGGCCCTCGAGAGACGCATGCGAGTAAGGCCCGCTGGGAGTTGAGCGGGCTTGCGGTGAAGAAGCCTCTCCGCCGCGGAGCGCCGCGCCTCAGGCCTGTTCCCACTCGCTTGCGTTTCATCAGTTTCCCACTGCCTGTGTGACAGCCCTCCCGCTGCGAGTACACCCGCAGGACTCCCTGCGCACAGGCCCCAGGCACTAGCCCGTCCTAGAGTTTGTCTCGGGAGCCCACGCTCCTGAAGCTCGCATTCAGCTTTGGGAGCAGGAGTGGACCAGACCTGCAGCAGCCTGGTCTGCGATCACCACTCCCGGTAGCACCTGGAGGGCTGGGACAAGCTGCTCCGGGGGGAGGCGGTAAAGGCAGATGGGACTCCAGTCACTGGGGCGGAGGAGCTGCAAGCTGGAAGAGTTGTCTCTCCATGCCATGGCTGCAAAAGTGAGCGGGGTGGCCTGTGATCTGTGAATGGAAGAGGCTTGGCAGGTCTGTCTGGGGTGATGGGAGAGGAATTTCCCTAGAATTCAGCTGCTGGGAGCAGGCCGAGCAGGGGTGGGTGCCGGGTTCAGAGGTGCACAGTCCTGAACACGGCCGAGGCAGGGCTGCTCTGTGATGGGGGTCTTCGGGGCCGAGTTGCTGTGTTATGGGGGTGTCTGGGGCAGGGCTGGTCAATGATGGGGGTGTCCGGATCAGGGCTGGTTGGTGATGGGGTATCTTGGTCAGGGCTGGTTGGTGATGGGGGTGTCTGGGGCAGGGCTGGTCGGTGATGGGGTGTCTGGGGCAGGGCTGGTCGGTGATGGGGGTGTCCGGGGCAGGGCTGGTCGGTGATGGGGGTGTTCAGGGCTGCTTGGTGATGGGGTGTCTGGGGCAGGGCTGGTCAGTGAGAGGGTGTCCAGGGCAGGGCAGGTCGGTGATGGGGCTCTGATACAGGACCGAGCGCTTGTGCTGGGCCCATTTTCTCTTTGTCCTGAGGACCTTGCTCTCCCACTGGGGTCCTGTCCGTCTGCATCATCCCTGTCTAGAAATCGGCTCACATGGGCTTCACCCCAATAGGAGGGCACCTGTACCTTTCCCATGCATGAGCCTGGGCCATTTCACTCTTCCTGCCATGGAACAGAGGTGCCAGTAACCTGGCTTCTACCCCACCCCTCCTCCCACTCCCCCATGACCCGGAGCAAGTGCTTTACTGCTTTCCAAGCTCTCTTTTCTCAGCTGCAAAACGGACCAGTCTGCACTCTTCCACCTGCTTACCCGTCTGGCTCCCGTCCTTTTCAGAGTTACTCTGTCACCCAGGCCCCTCCTTGGACATGCACACAGGGTCGTCTTCCCTTTGATCCCCACCTTGCTCGTTCAAGCCCTCCCGTGGAAGCGTCTCTTGGCTCCTGTGTGATACTCCCAAGCTGACCCCCTCTGGGCCTTGGTCAGAAGCATCCAGCAGGCATCTGGCGGGCATCTGGCGGCTCCTGCCTGCTGTGGACAGGAGCCAGCGCTGGTCTTTAGCTATAGGTACATGTGTAAAGGTTGCTTCCTATATTCAGTGACCATGATACAGAAAACACTCTGGCCCACTCGGAACTCTACACTGAAACAGATGCCTTTTTAATACACCTCTGGTATTGGCTCATTTTGTTATTGCTGTTTCTTGTGGTTTCATATTGAGGTTTTTGGCTCATTGCATTTGACTGGGAGTTTATTTTTAGTAGTGAAGGCAGTTCAATTAATGTCTAAACATGAGAGCAAATGCAGAGGAGGGATACGTGTCTTGGAGGAAATTGTGCCTAATTTTGTTTCTTCTGATACGATCTGTCACACCAGCGGACACCAAGCTTCCTCGCGGTGCCTGCCGTGAGCTCATGCGGAGGCAGGGAGCCGTGGCCACCCCTGAAAACAAAAGCTTTTCCGGGTTTCTTTCTGTCCCACTTGTCTAGCAGCTGGCCACCTGATGACAGCACCAAGGCTATTATGGGTGATCGTTCTCATAGTTAACATTAGAGTAAAGCCTGGACTTTGGAACCTTCAGCTTCTGTTACCTCCCAGTGGGTTTCATCCTGTCTTCAGAAGCGGCAGCTGACTGCCCTGGATTGGACATGTCTTGAGGGAAGGCTCTGGGCCTTGTTCTCGCTCTCACCCCCGATTTCGGCTACTTGGCAGGCTCGCGGGTGTGGTTGGGGGGGAAGGCCTTCTCGGGTGGGCTGGACTTTAGGACCCTGGGTTGGGCCTGGCAGGCAGAAATGATTCAGAAAGAACCTCAAGGGCTCCTCAGCCTGCTTTGGGCAAAACGTAAGCACTGCTGTCTCCTTAGGACTTTACAGTTTGTCAAGCTCCTTCTCATCCTTTCTCCCTCGATTCCGTGACTGAGCATGTGCGCTGTGCCGCTGTGTGGGTGCCTGGAATAAAGCAGAGATTCCTTTGTGCATTTTTCTGCCGTCGCAGAGCAGAGGTATGCTGGCTTCATGCCCGTGAGAAATCAGATGGGGGACCTTTAAAAATGTTGGGTTAAAGAAAAGTTTCATGAAAATAGAAGAAAAAAGAAACCCCAGCTTAAGTGCCATTCTCCCTGAGCTAGCTTTTCCCCTGGTATCAGCCCTGCCCTGGCTGGAATGGGAGGGGGGAACTGGGAAAGTGACTGGCCTGGGGGAGTGG